TCCTTCCATCTTCTTTTAATACTTCCTGGATCATTTAATATTCTGCCTAAAGCATCCTTGATTATAGCAACTCGAGGTTTGAATTTGTTCTTCAGAAACGCTGAGTAAGTTTGGCCCTTTGATTTTCCGACTCCAGCTCCTTGCTGTTTTCTGGATATTGAGCTTCAATCCTTCAATCCATATTTAAGGCTAAAATCCTTGAGAGATTTTAGAGCAGTAATTTTTTTAGAAATGTAACTTGTTACTGTGATGGTTTGTGGTTTGCTGTGGTGGAAGCAATGCCACTGGTATTTCAAATACAGCAGGGTCCGCCCAAAGGGGACAAGATTCAGGGGATTTTTAGAAAGACTAAGATAGACTAGACAGAAGGACTCATCATCCACTTCAGAAATAATAAGCCACTATAAAATCCTGTGAGTAGAGGTGTGACACTGATAGAGATTTCACCCTGATTCATAAGGAAAAGGGGACAGCGTATTCTCTTAGCTACTAACAAAATCTTTTAATTTAATTGTGATTTAATTAAAGTTTACAGAGAAGTTAGATTTTAATTCATTCATTGTTGCACATTTTACCCCCTCACCCTTCCTTCTACCTCCTCCCCCAGTTAATTTTTTAAAAAAATATTCATTCATTGTTGAACAATTACCTCTCTCCCTCAACTGCCCCTAGTCCTCTTTGCAATGTACCTCTTATTTTGGGCTGTTGTCATATGTATAATGCCTAATCCTATATTCCTTTTAAACACATCTTTCCTTCATCTGTTCCAATGCAATGTTCATTATGTATCCACTCTTAACCTATCCTCCTCCCAATCTCCCATGTCAGACCTGCTTTATAACAGTGATACTATGCAATATTTGTATATTTCACTCAGCATAAGGTCCTCCAGAGTTTCCCAAGTTGTGTAGTACTTTCTAAATTTATTGTTTTTCAGTGCTGCGTAGTATTTCACTGTATGACTATACCATAGGTTTTTTTTTATACCCATTTGTTTGTTGATGGGAACTTGGGTTGCTTCCATCTCTTTGCGACTGTAAATGAGGCACTAATAAACATGGATGTGCATATATCTGTTTGGATGGTGGTTCTGGTTTTTTTTAGGATATATTCCCAGTAGTGGTATTGTGGGTCAACTGGCATTTCTATTCCCAACTTTTCGAGAAAGTGCAAAACTGCCTTCCATAGTGGTTGCACCATATTACACTCCCACCAACAGTGAATACGGTTTCCAATCTCTCCACAGCCTCGCCAGCATTTATTGTTTGCTGCTCTGTTGAACTTTGCTATTGTTGCTGGAGTGAGATGATCTCTTATAGTTGTTTTTCTGACATCTGTGTGTTTAATAAGCACTTCTCTTTGTTCCATTACACACTCATATTCTAAAGATTTAATTTTTTAAAAAGATACACATTCTTAGAAAATGTTTATGCACTGCTGTCTCAGCCTGAGCCCTCGTAAGAGACTTTATAAGGCAGATTGGGGGCACCCTAGACTGAGAGATGTACAAAGAGACGGAATTCCACCCTGGGATCTTCGAGATCCTAGGAAGAAACAGACTACGTACCCTTAGGACCACAGACTGCAGTGGGAGACAGCGCTTGGGCAGGTCTGAAAATGTGAGACGTTATCCCCTCTACCAAACGCAGATGCACCCTAAAAAACCAGACCTACTGCCTTGATATGCATTCCGACTCCAAGCCTCGCTGCTTGCCATGTCACCACTAGAGGGCAGCCAGGAGCTGCGACAGAGAGTGGCAGTCTACAGTGTTTCTATATGAAAATCTCTCAAATTAAGATTTAAATCAGACATCAGGAAGAATTTACAGACAGGCTTTACCTTCTTCCATAGTAACTAACTCATTACCACGGAGTGAAAACCGACTCACAATTGACCCTGCATTGGGTTTCTGAGGCTATAAATCCCACGGGAGGGCGAGGAGATTGCCCATCTTTTCTCCTGCAGAGGTGCTGGTCGAGAGGCCTTTGGGGTTAACAGTGCAACTCCCTAAGGACGAGGCCAACAGAGTCCCCTAAGTAATAGAATAGATAATTTGGGGCAGGAGGAGGTCACCTCTGGGATCCTGGCTCCTGACGAAGGAGGTACAGGATTCTGAGAAATTAGACTTTTTTAGGTCTTGTTGCCTTAGTTCCAGACCCCTCTTCTTTCAGTCCGGTGCCTTCCTCCCGCGTACTTCCCCCAGGAGCGCTCAGCGTCCACACCCTTCTGTCTCCCTGCTTTTCCAACCCCCTGGCCCGAGTATCTGGAAGCTAGGGTGCCCTCACACCCCTTACTCTCCACCCTATAGTCCCACAACTCCTTCATCATACGAAGTAGGTCAGGGAAGGGAAGATGCACCTCTGAGTCCTGACCTGATTCCCTGCCGTCTTTTAAATCTAAATTGTCGGTATTTTTATTCTATCAAAGGAAAAAAAAAAAAAAAAAAAAAGAGACCATCTCTCTCCAGAGCCGGTTAGAAGGTGGTGGCAGGGGGTGTCTCCTTGCCCGAGTTGGGTCCACAGCAGCCCTGGAGCCTCAGCGAGACTGTTCCAGACTAGAGGTGTACCTGTATTTTTTCCGACTGGGGTACAAACAATATAGAGTTGTAAACGAGGGGGTGTGTGGGGATACAGTGGGGAAGGAGCTTAAAGGGGGAGGAATTCAGGCCTCTGCTGAGAGAAGGGGGGTGTTGTCCCTGTTGTAAGAGGTGATTCTAGAAAAGGGATAAGGAACCAGAAACCTGCAGAGTGCGGAGAAACAGCCCAGAAAGTCCAGAAACGGGGTGGAACTGGAAGGAGGGAGCTCCGGAGCCCTCGGCAGGGCAGGCGAGGGGGCGCCCGTCCGTCCGGGAGCGCGGGCCCCTCGGGCCTTGGCCGTGTGGCGCCCCTGCGAGAGCCGAGGCGTCAAGGGCGGGCGGGCACTGAGGTGCGGGCGCGGGGGACGGCGGGCGTTCTCCCG